TCAAACCCATCGCCTTGGCATTGTTAGTGCCAAAGAAGTTCTGTTTCACTCACTTTAGGTCTCCCTGTTCTCCCTGCTGTTTTAAATCCTTTGAAAAAGCTCAGAATCTGTTTTCCCAACCTACATTTAACCTGACAGGATTTTCAACCTGCCTAGCATGCTTTCAAGATTGTAAGGATTTGAACCCTGGTCCGTGGAGCAGGCAGTCATCAAAGACGAGAATGGGAAGGAGAGCTGGTTAAAATGCAGAGATTACACAGAGAAAGTCAGAGGTGCTCTTGTGTCGGCCCTCATTAACTCGGCTCCAGCATGATCTTTGTTGAACGCAGGTTGCTTTCTCGGTTGTACGAAGCACTGCAGAGCTTTCTTTTGGAAGGATAATTGGAGCTGACTGTTTTGTACCTCACTATTTTTATTTTTTGCATTTTCCATGTCCACTTTTCTGATATTTCTCTAATGAGCAGGTGTAGGCTTTGTGTCTGGGCAGTTTGTTAATGTAGTCTGAAGTAACATAGAGATTATAATGATGGAGACGTTAATCATGACAGTAATAATAGTGTGAGGATCATAACGTCAGTGATACTGATGGAGGCTTGGACAGTTCAGTGTGCGGGGGCAGCATAATTGTCCATTAAACTTTTCAGAGAACTTTTTGTCATGGATAGAAAAGCACTGGAGGCCCTAGGCCCTCTACTCATTATCTGAAAATACTTCGGCTCCCTGTCACTTCTAAGCTTTTTTGATTCGTGTTAAGGGGCTCCTTGGAGACTGGATTGTTTGTAATTCGTCGTCTAGCCTTTAAAAACGATCATTCATGCACCAATTAGCATTGGTCCACAATTTTCTGTATGACTTTAAATAGGACTCAATACAAAAAGAGTATCCATGGGAAATCAATAAATAATATTTGCAATTTAGAGTGTATGATGTTAGGGTCTTTTGAATCTTGTAAGATAAACTTATTCACAATGTGCTGGTTTAGCACTGTCAAAAGGTACTAATAGGTAGATATAACGGTACTTTTGAGGGTACTGCGCCAGTATCAAGCTGTTGTATTTTCTAAATGCATGTTATTGATCTTATTGTGAATAATCCATCCATCCATGCATATGCACATAAAAATGACCTAGTAATTTGTAATCAAAATGTCATAATTCAATCATCCAGTGAAACAACAGACTTCTCTCTGGTGAGGTATGCTGGAGTTTTCCAATTATTTTGTCTGCATAAACCCCGCCCCTTTCTTACAAATTCAGCTCTGCCTCCATCCAGTCAACAACTGATGGATTGAACCAAGTCCCTGCCATCATTTTTTTTTTCTCGATAAACCATTTCACTTGGATGCAAGTTACAATACTGGGAAAAAAAGATCTGCCGCTACTTCTGTTACACTGCGACTATTTTGTTTCACAGTAAACATGCACTATGTAATTTTTCCCCTCATTAAATTTTTTAGCCTATATAGTTAATAAAATGGGTAGCACATTTGAAAAAAAAAATTGTATGACATTCACTTAACATGAAGAAAAGGGGGGAAGAGTGGGTGGAAGAGGGCATGATATTTTCATTAGCATGAAATTATTTCCCCCTGAATACTCATACAGCATCTCAGCACATGTGCTAGAAATCAATATTTCCTATTTCCATATTATTCTAAGGCTATTGATCCATCAGGAGCAGCTTGCCTCTGAGTGCTATGATATATTCAATCCTCTGGTCTAAACTGAAAAAATAAATACATTTTCAAACAAGCAGTCGAGCTGAGACAATGAAACAGATTTAGGACTATACCACTTATGTAGAGAGCAAAATATGCATATTAACACATGCATTGCAAATATATTATAATCCTCTCTAAATGTTAATATTATATTGCATATAGTGTTTTTCAGATGCTACTCTTGTAGGGTTCTTCTCAAGTGACAAATGACGTGTCTTATAGCATCATGATTCATCTTAACCACAGAAATATTTATATTAACTTATATAAGGTGTTATAGTAACCATATTTCTTAAGTTTGCAATCTCAAATATTCAGTTTTCATAAAAATTAGAGGAACTATTGTTGTGTTTAGGTGGTCTGTGGATGTTCTGATTTGATCAAAGTTGTCTACACTAAGAAATAGATGACAACATTATTTTGTGCAGGCGTGTATGTACCAACACAGATGATATTAGATCCTTTCAGGATAATATACTGGTTATTTCATTCATTTTATACACGGAGGGCCCCACTTTATGTGGGATGCAGAAGCTTTGTTGATTTATCATGCTATTGAAAGTGTATTAGGAAACTAGATTAGTTTGATGCTATAATATTATACTTGACTACTTTGTGAGAACACAAATATTGTCTGTATTTACAACAAACAGCCTCGCCGTAATCAACTGTGTAAGCCTGCAGGCCGAATGTCACAGTAAATGATATCAAATACAGTGGTAATGATATTAGACTCACAAATGATGACTAAAGGAGTCAGATTAACTCGACTGCCACACTGAGATCAATAAATAATGCAGCAGAAATGGGCTTCAGAGAGCTGCAGTAGATCTACACTTTGTTGTCTGTCAGATTTGGGAGAGACTAGAGTCTCCGGTTACTTTTTAAAACCACATTGTCCACCACACTCATTAGTTTTTCACACCAGTGAAAAAATGTAGATCCTGCCAACACCTTTATTTCCTCATTGTTTCCATCATTCACAAGGTTTTCTGCCAAGTTTTGACTCTCAAATGCTTGATTCAGCAGAACTATCAATGATGTTTAAGGTCAGTTCTGAATAGTAGAGTGCTAGATATCTAAAGTCTGAGTTGATACATTTTTCCCGGTTACAGAAGTTGCCATACAGTGATTACAGTTATTGATTAAGCTGGTTTTCTGATGGAAACCTTCCACTTTTATAATATGATCTTCCTACTGTGTAATGGCATCAGCACGAATAATAAACCCGCAAATTAGGAAGAATGTGATTGCATTACATAACAAAATATTAAACCAATTGCCATTTATTTTAAAGAAAGACAGCACAAGCACAGTTATTAAGCAAAATATTCTATAAATATATAAATATTCTACAAAAATAATTTTTTCAGTCTTCAAAATTAACATAAATAGTATTTGGATGCTTTCTAATTACTGAATGTTGTTGGAACACATCCATAGCAAATATGATGAACTTCACATGTGGTTACTCTTAAACCTGAGGTAAAATAGTCAAATACGTCAGAAAAGAAAAGAAAAAGATGGATAAATGTAACCACAAAAAAAAAAGATGATAAAGAAAAGTTATTGCATTATTTGTTTGCAGATGCCACATTGGTTTAATGTTAAGTTCAAACATTTTGTGTGTAAAAAAAAAAAAAATCGTTAACACTTTCTATGAAGCCCGTATGTATAATACATTATAAAGGTATTCGTAAGGCATTATAATGAATGCATAATGCATTATAAAAAACCTTATAATATGTTGTATCATTTCATGAATATTCATAAGAATTTAATATATTATAATATTTACTTATTTGTGGTTATAGCTTTTAAGAGTATGATGATTTATAACACAATGAACACGTT